CTCTTGTTGAACTTCAGCTGGAATTCCGACTTGCCAGGAACTTTTTTTTTATGTCCTTCGTCCGTCTGGTTTCCCCTGCAAAGTTTTTCCAACTTGCTTCGAAAGTTTTTGTCGCTTCGTCCAGAAGATTATTCCGTGTACTCTTGGTAGATTCTGTTGACTTCCCCCCGGAATTTTCTGCCAACTTCCCCTGGAAGATTCTCTTGATTTCTTTCCAAAGTCGCTCCCGGCATCGCCCAGAATTTTTCCCTGTATCACCTGGCAGTATCTGGCTTCTGACTTTCTTCCGATAGATTATTCCGGCTTCTCCTAGAAGTTTCTTCTAACTGCTTCTGAAAATCCTTCCGGCTTACTCTAGAAGATTCGTCTGACATTCTTCAGAACTTTCCGCCGATCTAATCCAGGAGAGCATTTCCACGCCAACTGACGAATCGGTGTCAGTTTTCCCTCTCCGAATTCCTTGACACTTCGCCTAATTGTTCGCTAGGGGTAATTAACCAAGTTTGTGCTGAAGTTCGGCCATTTTGACTCCCGACTTTGTTTTCAAAATGGCGTATTCGATATTTAACAATAAATCATAGCACGAAAACGGCTCATCTAATCGAAATGATGTCTTAGGCTAAGTTGGAGGCAACTAGTTTGTCTTTTCAGAAAAAAATACACAGTGAATGAAAATTTTTGGATTTTTAATCTTATGTTTGATAAGCTTTCAATCAAAAATGGTCTCTAAAATGTTCCTGAAGATCTTGGAAATGCCTTCAATTTCACCTTACTTTCATAAAGATCTCTACATTTTCGCTAATTTTTTTTTCAACTTTTGGAAGTTCTTGAAGTTCTTTGGACTTCCCTAAAATTCTCTAGAGTTCCCTGAAGTCTTCAGTATTTCTTAAAAGTTCCCACAATTTTCCTATAGATAATGGAATTGCTTTGATGACCTGTGATCTTCCAACATGCTCCTGAAATTTTCCTGAAATTTTTGAATAGTTTGATGCTCACGGGACTTCATTTAAACTCTTTCAAGTTCGCTAAATTAAATTTTCAGAACTTCCTGAAGCTCTCTAAACTTCTGTAAAATATCTGCAATTTCGGTGTAGTTAATAATATTGCTCTAAGGTTCTTTGATCTTCTCTGGTGATCTTGGAATTTCTCTGTAGTACTTCTCAAAATGTCGAGCAAAATGTACGTCTCTTAATTTTCCAGAAATTAATGGAACTACAATCATCACCACTGATGTTTCCTGCTATGATGTTCACGGAAATTCATTTTAAATGTTTCTGCATAATCACCATTCTCTCGAAATTGTAAGAACTTTCATAGTTTTCCTAGAATTTCCTAAACTGCACTGCATTTTTTATGGACTTCTGTTAAGTTCTTCAAGTTTTATACTTCCCAGAACTTCCTGTTATTTTCTAGAAGATAAAAAGAAATAATTAATGCAGTTTTAAAATTTGATTTGCAGAAGCTTCCGATTATTTTTTTTTTAATATATCGAATCTAGAGTCTAGTTGTCATGACATTTTCAATGCTTCCCTGAAGTTATTGAAACAGTTCACTTAACCTTCATAAAGTTCTCTAGACTTCCCTGAATTTCTCAGAATTTTTAAAAAGCTCCCGCCTATTTCCTGAAGCTAGTGGACCAGCTTTGAAGTCTTCCCTGAAGTTTCCTCAATTTTCCTAGTGTCCATGGATCGTTACCAAGCTTCCGTTATTTTCGTGTAATTTTCAGAACTTCCTGGAGTATTGTGAAACTTCTGTTCCTGAAGCTTTCTAAACTTCTGTAAGATATCTGTAATTTTGCTGAAGTTAACAATATTGCTCTGAGGTTCTTTGATCTTTCCGATTATCCTAAAATTTCTCTCTAGCTCTTAAGATTTTCATGATGTTTATGGTACTGTACTTCCATGAATATTTTTAAACTTTTGTAAAATTCCAGAAGTTTTTCTGATGTTTCACAAACTTCTCTGAAGTTCTCTGAACTTCCTGGAAAAATTTGTATGTATTTTAATTTTCCTTAAATTATTGAAACTACAAAAATCTTCTCCGATGTTTCCGGAATACTTGAAACTGCCATGAAGTTTACCGAACTTCAATTGAAATGATTCCTTACAACCATCATAAAACTTCTCTGGAGTTCTTCCAACTTTCTAAAGTTCTCCAAGTTTTTCCAAGAAATTCCTAAACTTCACTGCAGTTGTGTGGACTTCTGTGAAGTTCCTCAAGTTTTGCTCAAAAATTCTAAATTTCACTAAAGTTCTATGTATTTTCTTAAAATTCCCAGAACTTCTTTAAGGTTCCTGTTATTTTCCTGAATTATAAGGAAATAATTAATGCAGTTTTAAAATTTACACTGAAGTTCTCGAGGCTCAGTCTAGCCTTTCACGACGTTTTAGATACTTTCATGTTATTAAAGCAGCTGAATAAACTTTCCTAAAGTTCTCGAGACTTCCCTGAATTTCTCAAAATTTTTAAAGAGCTTCCGCCTATTTCCTGAAGCTAATGGACCAGCTTCAACTTCCCTGAAGTTTCCAAAATTTTCCTAATGTTCATGGATCTTTCCTAAAACTTCCGTCATTTTTGTGGAATTTTCAAAACTTCTGAATTATTGCGAAACTTCTGTTTCTGAAGCTCTAAACTTCTGTAAAATATCTGCAATTTTGCTGTAGTTAACAATATTGCTCTGAGGTTCTTTGATCTTCCCGATGATTCTAAAATTTCTCTCTAGCTCTTGCGATTCTCCTGATGATTTTGGTACTGTACTTCCTAGAAGTTCTTGAAACTTTTGTAAAATTCCTGAAGTTTTTCTGATGTTTTACAAACTTCTCTGAAATTATCTGAACTTCCTGAAAAAACTGGGAACTTCTAAAACTTTATGTATTTTAATTTTCCTGAAATTAATGGAACTGCCATAATCTTCCCTGATGGTTCCGCAGCACTTGATACTGCCATGCAGTTTACGGAACTTCAATTAAAATGATTTCGCATAATCATCATTAAACTTCTCTGGAGTTCTCGAAGATTTTAGAACATTCCTGAAGCTCTTCAAGTTTTCCCTAGAATTTCTTAAACTTCACTGCAGTTGTGTGGACTTCTGTGAAGCTCCTCAAGTTTTGCTAAAATTTTCTAAATTTCACTAGAGTTCTATTTATTTTTCTAAAATTTCCAGAACTTATTTAAGATTCCTGTTATTTTCCTGAAGTTACAAGTAAATAATTAATGCAGTTTTAAAATTTACACTGAATTTCTCGAGGCTCAGTTTAGCCTTTGATGAAGTTTCCAATGCTTCCCTTAAATTATTAAAATATTCATAAAGTTCTCAAGACTTCCCTGAGTTTCTCAAAACTTTTAAAAAGCTCCCGTCTATTTCCTGAAGCTAATGGACCAGCTTTGAAGTCTTCCCTGAAGTTTCCGCAATTTTCATATTATTACCATTCATACTAACATGGTACCGGTCATGTTCGAAATTGTCCACTTCTCCCGGCGTACTCAGAACCTGCTCTAGGGTAACCATGGCAAGCTGTGGACATGAAAACACTACCATTGACATTGGTTTACAAAATCTTGAAGTTTGACCCCCATACCAGTCATGTCCTAAATTGGCCACTTCCCCCGGGGCACTCAGAACCTGCTCTAGGGTAATCATGGCAAGCTGTAAGCATGAAAATGCTACCATTGGCATTGGCTTGCAAAATCTTGAAGTTTAACACGCATATTGATATGGTTCCAGTCATGTCCCATATTGGCCACTTCCCCTGGGGAACTCAGAACCTGCTCCAGGGTAATCATGGCAAGCTGTGGACATGAAAATGCTACCATTGGCATTGGCTTGCAAAATCTTGAAGTTTGACACCCATATTGATATGGTACCGGTCATGTCCTAAATTGGCCGCTTCCCACGGGGCACTCAGAACATGCTCCAGGGTAACCATGGCAAGCTGTGGACATGAAAACACTACCATTGGCATTGGCTTACAAAGTCTTGAAGTTTGACACCCATACTGATATGGTACCGGTCATGTCCCATATTGGCCACTTCCCCTGGGGAACGTAGAACCTGCTTCAGTGTAACCTTGGCACGCTGAGGACCTGCAAAATCTATCATCGGCATTGGCTTGCAAAATCTTGAAGTTTGACACCCATATTGATATGGTTCCGGTCATGTTCCAAATTGGCCACTTCCCCCGGAGCATTCTGAACCTGCTTCAGGGTAACCATGGCAAGCTGAGGACCTGCAATATCCACCATTGGCATTGGCTTGCAAAATCTTGAAGTTTGACACCCATGTTGATATGGTTCTGGTCATGTTCGGAATTGGCCACTTCCCCCGCGGCATTCAGAACCTGCTCCAGGGTAATCATGGCAAGCTGTGGACATTGAAATGCTACCATTGGCATTGGCTTGCAAAATCTTGAAGTTTGACACCCATATTGATATGGTACCGGTCATGTTCGAAATTGACCACTTCCCACGGGGCACTCAGAACCTGCTTCAGGGTAACCATGGCAAGTTGAGGAACTGTTAAATCTACCATTGACATTGGCTTGCAAAATCTTGAAGTTTGACACCCATACTGATATGGTACCGGTCATGTCCCATATTGGCCACTTCCCCTGGGGAAAGCAGAACCTGCTCCAGGGTAACCATGGCAAACTTGGATTTGAAAAATCTACCATCGGTAGTGACTCGCAAAATTTCGAAGTTTGACACCCATATTGATATGGTACCGGTCATGTTCGGAATTGGCCACTTCCCCCGGGGCACTCAGAACCTGCTCCAGAGTAATCATGGCAAGCTGAGGACATGAAAATGCTACCATTGGCATTGACTTTCAAAATCTTGAAGTTTGACACGCATATTGATATGGTACCGATAATGTTCGAAATTGGCCACTTCCCACGAGGCACTCAGAACCTGCTTTAGGGTAACCATGGCAAGCTGAGGTCTTGCAAAATCTACCATTGACATTGGCTTGCAAAATCTTGAAGTTTGACACCCATATTGATATGGTACCGGTCATGTTCGAAATTGGTCACTTCCCCCGGGGAACGCAGAACCTGCTCCAGAGTAACCATGGCAAGCTGAGGACCTGCAAAATCTACCATCGGTATTGACTCGCAAAATCTTGAAGTTTGACACCCATATTGATATGGTTCCAGTCATGTCCCATATTGGCCACTTCCCCCGGAGCATTCAGAACCTGCTCCAAGGTAACCATGGCAAACTTGGATTTGAAAAATCTACCATCGGTATTGACTCGCAAAATCTTGAAGTTTGACACCCATATTGATACGGTATCGGTCATGTCCTAAATTGGCCACTTCCCCCGGGGAACGCAGAGCTTGCTTCAGGGTAACCATGGCAAGCTGAGGACTTGCAAAATCTACCATCGGCATTTGCAAAATCTTGAAGTTTGACATCCATATTGCTATAGTACCGGTCATGTTTGAAATTGTCCACTTCCCCTGGGGAACGCAGAACCTGCTTCAGGGTAACCATGGCAAGCTGTGGACATGAAAACATTACCATTGGCATTGGTTTGCAAAATCTTGAAGTTTGACACCCATATTGATATGGTTCTGGTCATGTTCGGAATTGGCCACTTCCCCCGCGGCATTCAGAACCTTTTCCACCCAAGCAGCACACTTCCATCGAAATAAGTTGCTGCAACTTGATTGTGACTGGAATGGGTTGCACACAAGTAACCACGATTGTTCAGTGACAAGTGTGCTGCTAGGGCAGGGTAATCATGGCAAGCTGTGGACATTGAAATGCTACCATTGGCATTGGCTTGCAAAATCTTGAAGTTTGACACCCATATTGATATGGTACAGGTAATGTTCGAAATTGACCACTTCCCACGGGGAACTCAGAACCTGCTTCAGGGTAACCATGGCAAGTTGAGGAACTGTTAAATCTACCATTGACATTGGCTTGCAAAATCTTGAAGTTTGACACCCATTCTGATATGGTACCGGTCATGTCCCATATTGGTCACTTCCCCTGGGGAACGCAGAACCTGCTTCAGTGTAACTTTGGCACGCTGAGGACCTGCAAAATCTATCATCGGCATTCGCTTGCAAAATCTTGAAGTTTGACACCCATATCAGGCATTCCATAGCAAAACGTAAAAATGGGTAGTTTTTTTCTTATCGCAAAATATTAGATCATATTTTTTCCTGATGTCTTTAGGGTGACCATTTCCATGTTAGGGTGGCCCAAAAAATCAATTATTTTTCAAAAATGACTTTTTTTTTTTTAAATTCATAACTTTTTAACCAATGCGCCGATTTCAAAGATCAAAATATCGAATGAAAGGTCGTGACCATGTTACTGTCGCTATAAATCGCTGGAGACGTATGGTAGTCTAGTCATATAGGAGTATTGAGTGAAACCCCAAAACTTGATACCTTCAAAAAACTGATAACTCAAAAACGAAAAAAAAAATGCATGGCTGATTTGTTGATATGTTGTGTAAAAAAGCCTAAATTTTCAAGGAAAAATTATAAAAACATATTGTGGCTTCTATCTACAAACCATAAAACCATAAAAAAATACAATCAAAGCCCAATTTTTTACATCATTCTATATTTTAGAAAAAGTACCTTTTATTTGATATTTTGATCTTTGAAATCGGTTCCAAAGTTGTGATATTTTTCAAAAAGTCATTTTTGAAAAAATATTGATTTTTTGGACCACCCTAACATGGAAATGGTCACCCTAATGACAAAATAAAAAAAAATACGGATCTAACATTTTGCGATAAGGATCAAAACTACCAGTTTTGACGAAATTCAGAGAACCACTACATCATTTTGCTATGAAATGGCTGTCATAGTACAGTCAACTAGATGTCCACTAGCTTGATATCGAATTACAGAACCATAGTAAACATTTATTCCATGGCTACTGTGATAGCGATTTCGGGTGGGATTGTTATTCTATAACTCGATGGTCCCTTCAATATCGAGTTGTAGAGAGTTCACTGTATATGAATCTGCATCATTGAACATCTATCATGGATTGATTTGGTGAGTTAGTGAGTTTTCAGGTGACCAAGGTCTTCCGGATGTTATACAGATTAGTTCAGAATTCTCTCAGTACGTGGTGCTGATCTTCCTGCATATGCTGCAATATCTTAACATCCTGACTGTTTAAGAAGATGGTATCTTCGAGAATGTTGTTCAGGTGATAAAGGCCCACAGAATGCTACATTCTGGACTAGCTCACTATGCATACTAATGTACAGCTATTTGTCCATACATGCGCATACTACGGACCGTCCACGTAGCATATGGGATTTAGCTTAATTGGTTCCAACATGGAATGTCCCGTCATCCTGGACATATAGAAGGTTTCTGCCTTAGCCAAAGTTGTTCGGTGGATCAAGGCCTTATGGTTGGTGGACAGTAGTTCAGAATGTACTCACTACGCGGTGCTAGTGTGCACTTGACCTTCATGTACAAGCTATATCTGTATTCAGCGTGCGTACAGAACAGAAAATCGTGGGATCAATTCCAGAGGGTTGTCGTCATCGTCGGTGCCGAGTCTGAATGGTGTCAACAACAACTCGATCATAGGTGGTGTGATGTGGCAAGGGGGGCTCGGTGGCCTATGCAAACGTCTCAAAAACGGTCCACCTAGGTTTAGAACAGCCCTTTGTGAAAATAGTTCGCTGTTCGGTTCAACAGACAGCGAGCGTTCCACTCACTCTGAGTCCAATGCAATCAATCTTGGTGGCATTTAAGAACTTTGAACACTCTGGTCGTTCAAAATCAGTTCCAGAACAACCTGTTAGCCGAGTATGACACATTGCTTTCCGCCAACAAAGGCACCCGTGTTTGTCTTTTCAGCGGCCCAACAACTCTCGATAACGCGATATGGTAGATGGTAGGGTGTACGACGACGATGTCGTCGTCGTCGCCGCCGTCCTCCCACTCCCTGTTGTCCCCCGTCGTCTCCCGGCTGTTCGGTAGTCAAGTAAGTCGGTATGCATGTATTTGTGTAGAGTGCAAAAAAAAAGAAAAATCGATTTCCATTTTTTTTTTTGTTTCACCATACTACTGCCATCCGTTCATCATCCCACACTCTCCGCTGTTGCTTCATCATGTTGGCGGGTTGTGCTGGGATGGTATGGGGTGGGTGGTTTGGGAAGACTTTTTTTTTAGCTCTCTTTCGCTCGCTGCGGCACTAGAACAAGTGGGTTGACGTGGTCCTTTTTAATAAATTTCCCTTCTTTTTTTTGTTGATGGGGAAGGGGGAAACCTGCTGCAGTTGTTGCGAGGTCCTTGGGGAAAAGTTCCGAAGGGTGGGTGATGTGGAAAATTGTAATGGAAGAACCAAGTTGCCTGGGCGGTGCCAATGCCAATGTCCGTCCGGAGAAAGCTGAACCCCGAGCGAGCGTGGAGGGTTGAAGTAGGTCACCAAATTTTAATTAATGCTTTCTAGCGAAGAAGAAACAGTCTGACGCGAAAATTTAACTCTTTCGCCCTTCGATGATCCTCCTCATCTTCTACATCCATCCAGCCGAAGCGATGATTCAATGTGTACTAATTTGCGTTTCTTGCTTTTCTCTTTCTCAGGTACGTATCCAACACACCGAAGGCGCTTCTTGGGATATATTTATTGGACACCCGAATCCGTAAAAATGCCGTGGGAAGTATTGATTTCCAGTCAAGATATAGGGGCAAAAACAAACTCCCTCCTCAGGTCGGTTCTATTAACACGCGCGCGGGTTCGAACAATTTCGAATAACTGTAACAACCTCCCTTCGGGTTGGCGACGGAACAGCAGCAGCGGGGGTACTTCACCCCGCGGCAAATGGAAAATGAATTTATAATTAGAAAAGAGTGTCGGAACGGGAAACCACCTCCTATTCTCGGGTAGCAACTATAAAAACACACACCGGTTTTGTAGCAATTCACCCTCCTTGAACGTTGTCGATTTTGGCTCGGTTGGAAAATTTTGATTTTTCGACACAAAGACACTAACTAACCCCGGAGATGGAAAATTCCTTACCCGAGAGGAAACCACTCTCTCTCTCTCTCTATCCCTGCTAGTTGTACAATCTGTTACAAATGATATGGTGGTTCCTATCGCTGGATATCGCCACATGACGACGCTCCAGAAGGTAGGCAACGAAGAAGAACGCCCAAGCGATTCTTGGTACATAAGAAAGAACCTGGACGAAAAAAAAAATGTAAGTTGTATATGGTGTGACGATGGTGAAAATGAACACAAACATTACGTAATCCCGACACGCAAGCGGAAAGGAGAGTGGCGGAAGAGGGGGGAGGGGTGGCGTAATGATGTGATGCTCCTTTGTTGTGAACCTTATTTGGTCATGATTCTGGCTGGTGACTCCGTCCTCCTCCGCTACGACCGACGGCAAGTGTGTCGGTCCCGGAAGGTGCAAGGTGGGACGGAACGAAGGGTAATTACATTACTCATTCCGGAAGGCGGAAAAGCGTTTCGGTGCTTTCGATGCAAAGGGTTTTTCGGTAGTTAGATGACGCTGAAGTTTACCTCTGGTGATTGGAGATTTTGAGGAACAGCTCTCCTTCAATGCTGCTAGTTTTGACCGTCTTTCACAGTTCTGGACCGCTGTGCATCCACCTCCCCCTCTCATTGTAAGAAACTGTTATAGATGATGAGACATCCCATCCTCCATAATCCGTTACATAATTTGTGGATGACGCCTTGAAGTTTTAAAAAAATATTTGAAATTGGCACATATTCTTCGTTCACAGAAATTCTTAAAATTTCGTAGAACTTTTCTGCAGTTCACAGGACTTCCCTAAAATTCACAAAAAATCTCTGACGTTCACAGAAATTCTTTAACATTTGCAGAAACCCCTTGAAGCTCGCTGAAGTCTTTTAAATTTCGTAATACTTCTCTGCAGTTCGCAAAACTTTCTTGAAAAATGCAGAAGTCATTTAAAGTGTGCAGAGATTCTCTAAATCTCTGAAATTTTTTTGAGGTTCATATAAATTCTTGGAATAAATTTCCTAAAGTTCGCATAAATTCCCAAAAATTTACAGGACATCCAAAAACCGCAAAAATCCTATGAAATTTGCAGAAATTCTCTGAAGTTCGCGTTCACAAAA